ACTCTAGTCTGGGCCTCAGTAAATATCTGATATAGTCCTCAATTACCACAACTTTCCCTTGCTGATGTACGCCCTGGCTTGGCTGATCCTTTTAAACTTGTTATAAACTTTTATTCCAAGACACTGTTAGTTCTATGATAGTCTATAGTTTAATGTACAGGAGAAAGAAATACGGTGATATTTTATTTGTGCTGAAATGTGATTTTATTCGTATGTTAATAAATAAAGTTTGCCTGGAGATTAGAGGTCATAGTGAGCCATAAGCAGAGTCAGGTGGTGGTGGCACATGCCCTTAATCTGATCACAGGGCAGGCAGAGTCTCTGTGTAGTCAAGGACACAGCCAAGCGTGGTGACACAAACCTTTAATCCCAGTACCAACCATAGAGACCTGGAGGTCTGTATAGAAAGGCAGTAACAAGGAAGTCATATGGTTGGGTTTAGAGCCAATGAGGGGCAGAACAGAAAGGCAATTAAAAGACAAGTCAGACAGAGAAACTCTCTCTCTGGGGGCAAGCTAAAGTTAGTCGTGGCTATTGCTCTGATCTCTTTGGCTATTTCCTCTGTTTTTGGCTCTGTGTTTCTTATTTATTAAGACTGTTTAGAATTTCGTCTACAAAGAAAGATGATGTAAGGCTATGATTTTAGTGTCTTAAGACCTTGTGATCTTTTTTTTTGGGAACAAATGTGTATCTTAGAAAGGAGAAACACAGTATTGCTTACCTCCTGCTCTGTACTTAATCAGTGCCTCAAATATCTTATAAACACATATATACAACCATCTGAAAAGGTAGGTTTTTTTGCTTGAGTTTTACAAATTGAGATCATTATTTTATGTTTTGCTCTGGGTAGTTTTTAGTACTCATTCCCTCTCCTCTCTGCATGCTTGTTCTTCTGCTCTGTAGGAGTCAGATGACCCAGACAGGTTCAATTATCAGAGCGCTCAGGGTTTTCATTTCTGGCTCTACTCTAGTGTGTATATTTGAGTAGGCAGACTGTCATGACGTTACCCCTCCCTTGGAAACTGTGATCATAGAAAATTGTTGCTTTTTTTTTTTTTTGGTAAGATATATTTAATCTCACCAATTATTTCCTTTGCCTTTTCTAAAAATTCTCCGTGGGAGACTGTACTGAGTTTCTCAGGTATCTTGACTCAGCTTGTACTTGTTTTCAATTTCCTTTTTGGAAATTAGGCTTTTGAACTATTGACAAAAAGCCATCTCCTCTTTCCTCTCAACCAGTATCATTCAAACATTTAGAAACTGTGTTCTGAGTACTGTCTCTGATCCAGGTATGACTATAGACTGCATAAAACAATATAGACAACCATAGATGCAAATGAAAATGGACCGAATTTGAGAAAAGACTTGAAATTATGGAATGAGCTGTGAGGTTACCTGATGTGGCAAACACATGTTTGGTAAAGAATGAGACCACAGAGACCAAGCTAGTGTTGTTAAAAATGGAGTAAACAGGACAAGGGTAGGATATAACTACAAGAACATTGAAGAGAAAGTAGTTCAGTGTAGATTTTGATTTTTACATTAAGTGAGATTAACAGACATGGAAGTAACTCATACAGAAGTATTCTTCCTGGATAGAAAAACACGAGTGCATGAGAATATAGAATCCGTGAAGCTAGTAAAAGGCCTGCATAATCATCCGAGTCAAATGGTGGTAACCTCTGCCACAGTTTGGGGACGTGAAGGTGCTAGGAGGTGAGAAGGTCTTGCGTATATGTTGCAATGAAAGCTTTCACTTTGAGGCCAGCTATTGGATAGTGAATGAGGTCAAGGATGACATGGGCCCGAATAATGTGAACAATGAAATCGTTGAGGTCTGGTGGGATTAACGGAAAACCAGCTCAGCTTGGAAATTTATATTTGAGATGCCTGTCTAATACAGACTGGAACTTTCAGTTGTTCAGTCTGCAGCAATATCTTACAGAATGGCCCATGTGTAGAGAGTGGCCTATTAGTCTTGCATTTGTCTTATTCCACACAGACATGGATCAGAAGGGGATGACCATGACACTAGATACTTTCCATTATAGATACAGAGTATGAAAGACTGTCCTGTACGGTGGCTTTGCCAATTGGAGGGAGTCATGAATGGTGATTATACAAGAATTTTGACTCATTCTATTGGCCACTATCTCAGTTTCCATGAAACATGCCCACAATAAGCACCCATTACTACCAGTTAGTGGTAGTTGTTCAATAAAATTAGTACATTCTTTCCTGTTGCCATTACTGTTTTCATAAATTTAAATTGCAACGAGTTGTTACTGTTTGCTTACAAATAGCTATTTGTTTTCTGTAAATTTTGCTCTACATTTAGATATGTGATTACATATTGATAATACTTTGTTGTGTTTCTGAGATAGGGACTCGTAGCTGAGGGTGGCCACAAATTTGTTGTTTAGTAAGGTTTGTCTTGAATTCTTGGTTCTACCTTTCTCTTCCCCCTCTTCCCCCATGTGTGTATACATCTGTACACACACAGAAAGACCGGAAGAGGACATTCAATCCATGTAGCTAGAGTCATAGCATTTGTGGGATGCCTGGCTTGTTACTTAGGTGCTAGTATCCATATTCTGGTGCCCATGACAGCACAGAAAACACTCTTAACTACTGAGCCGTCTCTCCAGCCTCTCTGCTTTAGTCTCTCACTGAGTCTTTCAACCCCCCAAATATATAAATTTCTCTATTTATTATGGGAAAATAGAATGATTGAGTCATATGCTATTCTACAGATCTGTCATCCAGACCACATTCAGCTATTTCTTCAACTTGCTCATTAGTAGAATCTGTCTTATAGATACATTTCCAGAATCAAAAGTGAAAGAATAGCTCTTGCTCCTGAGTCAAAGAAAATATTTGAAACAGACATTAAAAAGATGAAATACTATCTTTGTTCCAAGACTAATACCTGGGTAAATGTTAGCATTAATTTCTGTTTGTTATTGTTCAATATAGTATTAAAAAAGAACTTAACTGATAACGTGAATTTTTCTAAAAATCTATAATTGCGTGTCCACAACTTTAAGGTTATCTACTAGCCCCTAATTCAATTCTATTTTGACAACACAATTACTTACTCATCAGAATTCTTGAGCCTGCATATAATTTTTATTTTAAAATTTGTTGCTTTCTCAAGATTCTCTTTACCAATTCTTTTATACTTACATTACTCTTAGTAATTTCTTTCTTAATAGCTCAAACAATTCCTTAGTGAAAATAAGAAGTAAAAGTTTAATGTATATGAGTATATTAAACATGGAAATTGAATGGGACTCCTATTTCAGGCAGGATCTTTTGTTGGAATGAAAATGAAAAGAGAGGACAAGGAAGTATTTTACAGATTTTTAGGCCATATGTTCTCTGTTATAAGTAAGTACTCATCTCTGTCAGTGCAGCACAAAATGCAGCCATAGGGATAGATTATTGGAATTTATTCCAATAAAACTTTATTTATGAAACAGTCATTGGGCTGGATTCAGTAGTATGTGTTGCTCTCCAGACAGCATAGGTGCATTCAGACGGGTGCCGTGGTAGATTTCATGTTGATTTCCACATAGGACTTATTTGGACCTATTTACAAAATCATCACTTCTGTCAAATTTTCCTCTATTGTGGGTACATTATTTACACATCATTCAAGTGATTAAAAAGTTTAAAGGCATATTGTCTTGGAATAATGTATCCCATGGTATTTTTTATTTTTTGGTTTTTCGAGACAGGGTTTCTCTGTGTAGCTTTGTGCCTTTCTTGGAACTCACTCTATAGCCCAGGCTGGTCTCAAACTCACAGAGATCCACCTGGCTCTGCCTCCCAAGTGCTGGGATTAAAGGTGTGTGCCACCACCGCCTGGCAGTATGTTCTTTCTATAGAAGACACTTGGGAATTGTTTTTATTATTCATTTCATCAAACACCTATGGGCCGTTTGTTGTATGCCAAGCACTAGAATACATAAACATTTGTCTGCCACAAATGTCCAATTCTTGCTCTCAAAGAGCCCACATTTCAGTGTTTTTTTTTTTTTTTTAATTTTGGTTTTTGGTTTTTCGAGACAGGGTTTCTCTGTGTAGCTTTGCGCCTTTCCTGGAACTCACTTGGTAGCCCAGGCTGGCCTTGAACTCACAAAGATCTGCCTGGCTCTGCCTCCCGAGTGCTGGGATTAAAGGCGTATACCACCACCGCCCGGCAACATTTCAGTGTTTTATACAAACTGTTCATTGTCTAATCTCATTGTGTGATAACTGTCAGGATGGGAGAGATGAGAGTGTTCAGGAGGCTTTCTCTAGGTTGTCTTAGAGCTGAACTATAGAAGAGTTATCATCATGAGGATGTGAGAAGTGTGCTGCAGATGGGATGGTCCATAGCTCTTTAAGTAACTGACCATGAGAAAAGAAAGAATTGAAGGGAGTTTGTGCTTTACAGGTGTCATGAGAGACTGGTATTCCAGTCTCTTCCTGTGGTGATTTCTGTGCTCTGGAATAGTACCTACCTTCTTCCCCAGGTTCATGTATTAGGCCTCAGATTCTAGCACATGGTGCTTAAAGGAGTTGGCACAAGCCTTAAAAAGTAGGGCCTAGTGGGAGGTTTTGGCAAAACCAGCTTTAAGAGGTCAATTCCCAATAGGTCTCTAGTTTAAAGGGAGTCAAATATACGTCGATGGTGGTGGCAGGGGTAGATAGAGAGATGGATTTCAAGTTTCCCCACACCACAACGCATTTTGTGTCAAGATTGCCACATATGTCAATATCAGGAAGTTCTCCTGGAAGTCTTCAAATATAGGAGGGAAAGGCATTCTCACCTTGTCAGTCCAGCTTGGGAGACATCTCGTTAGTGACATATGTTCTTTCTCTTGGAAAACAATGAAGTACTAATGGCATAGCTTAAGAAAAAAGAAAATAAAGTCTTCATCTTTATAAAAATAGAAGAAAATACTATTTCAAGCCACACAGTCCTAGAAGAACACAGCAAAAACGGACATACTTCACTTGGCCTCCTCAGCACCTTCAGCTTTTTGTGCCTGGTCCATTCTGGCATCTCCATTTTCTGCATGATTATTCCCATGCTTGCCAACATCTGATCTCCCCCTTTCCCTTTTGGTTATCTTTTCTTCCTTATCATCAGGGACCTTTTTAGGCTTGGGCTCTGGCTTTGGAAAAGCAAGTTTAGCAGACAGCCTTGCAGAAACACAGAGAGGCTTGCCCTTTACTTGGGCTTTATCCCTGTTAGCATCTGCTTCAGCTTGTCTTTTGAGCATGGGGCCAGAGGCAGGGGATGTAGGTCCTCGTGCTTGCTGACAAAGCCATGATTAACCATAACTAACCTGCTGTCCTCTTTGTCCTACTTAGATTCTTCATGGATAGGACAATGTCTGCCCCACTTAAGTTAGCAAGAGTAAAACTTCTTTAGGTATTCAATGATTCAAATGTTGACGTCATCCAGAAATACTCCACAGATAACACCCAGAAATATTAAGCGCCTCTGGGCATGGTCAAGGTGACACACAAATTCATCAGCCCACCATCGTTTTCCTATTGAACTGTTTCAAGGTGTGGGGGCACTATAAAGGCTGCGTGACTAGGAGCATAACCAGCATTTTCCTTGCAGTCCAGTAATTTGAGCCTTGTATTTGTTTTTCATTGTTTAAGGCCTTCTCTCTCTCTCTTTTCCACATTTCTACTATCCTAGAATTTAATGGCTCAAAAAAAATTTACTAGATTAGCTCTGCCTCATGCTCTGATTTTTGGAGGATCTGTCAGCCTAAGGTTCACTCAGCTGATATTGTTTGAACAAAAGCTATTGCTGGGTGAGTGCTGTTTTCAGGAGCCCAGTGTGTAGCTGCAGAGTTTTTAGAGCACTTGCAATGTACTGTTAAAGAAGGGAAACAGAACCGTGTCTTTGCATAACCCTTTTCAAGTGAAGACGGAGAGAAAATGAATAATAGACATGATAAGTACATTTTAGTGTGTGAGATGACTTGCCCTGTGGAAAGTCAAGGGGCTACTGTCCTATTCCTTGTGGTTCCCACCATCTTCAACCTGTGGTATGTGCAAAATGACAGCCTGAGAGTACAGAAGACTCATGCAGGCAACTTCTATTTCCATCATTTTCATATACAACACCAATAAAATGCTTAGCACAATCAATATTTTATTTCTCTTCCAAATGTGTCTATAGGAGCATTGAAAATTTTTATTTTATTGTGAAATAACATGCTACAATTGTAAATACTTACGGCTTACCAAGTGGTATATGTGCATTTAAAGTGGAATGATTCAATAGACCTAATTAACATATTAAATAACTCATAATACTTACTTGTTTTGTGGTGAGGACCTCTGTGATTCATTTTTGGAAAATTTGAAGTATACATTATTATTAACTACAGGCATGCTATGGAAAGTATCTAAAAAGAAATTGGTTACTCCTTGTGTAGCTAAAGTTTTCCTGGTTCTGTTCAGCTCCTGCGGCCCTGCAGCCAGCCGCTTGGACCCAAGTAAACACACAGAGACTTATATTACTTATAATCTGTATGGCTGTGGCAGGCTTCTTGCTATCTGTTCTTATATCTTAAATTAACCCATTTCTATTAATCTATAAGTTGCCACGTGGCTTGTGGCTTACTGGTACTTTTACATCTCGCTTCCTCTGTGTCTGGCTGGTGACTCCTGACTCAGCCTTCCTCTTCCCAGAATTCTCTTCTCTGCTTGTCCTGCCTATACTTCCTGCCTAGCTACTGGTCAATCAGCATTTTATTTATCAACCAATCAGAGCAACATATTCACAGCATACAGAAATATCCCCAGCATCCTTGTGAGTATTTTTAGTTTTATGTATATTTAAAAATATATTAATGTTTTTAATTGAAATATAATTACATTACCTACCCCTTCCATTCCTCCCTCCAGTAACTCCCAGCTTCCCTCCCCTAAATCCCACTCATTCTCCTTCACTTCCAAGTTAATAGACTCTTTGATTGTGTTTGTCATATATGTATAGATGTATGTCTAAAAGATTTATTTTTAACTTATATATATGATGACTTTGCCAGGATGTATGTAAGTGTATCTCATGTGTGTAGTGCCCATGAAGGCGAGAAGGGGTTATTAGATTCCCTGGAACTGGAATTACACACAGAAGGTTGTAAGCCACCTTGTTGGTGCTGGAAACTAGATCTGGGTCCTCTGCAAAAGCAGGAAGTACTCTTAACTGTTGCACTATTTCTCCAACCCCAGTTTTTCATGTATTTTTACTTCTTCCTTATACCAGTATTCCTAGAGGTAACATCATATCATGTTTTTACTTAAAAAAATGATTTCCTCCAGAAAGAGAAGAATGAAGTTTACCATATGAGCCAAACATTAAAAACTGAATTGGTTAGAATGATACATGTGGAAAAAAAGTCTTTTGATTACTCAGATATTTGAAGGAAAAATATGTTTATATGATTTCTTGGTACAACTTATGCTGGTCTCTGATCTCAGGGTTCACTGAATTAGGAGGAAATTAGGAAACATGAACAGTATTAATACCTCCTATTACTGTAACTTTGTGCCACGTGGATCAGGTGTTTACTATTTGTTGAGTGCACTCTTGAATCCTTTGTGTCTGTGTTTCCAAAAACGAAATCTCATGCTCCATTCAATGAAGTGCTCATTTCAAAAAAAATATTTAATGTTCACTGTGTGCTTACCACAGTAGGGGTTAAAGTAAGAGCTCATGGCATGTATCTTAAAAGTTGCACACAAAACAAATACCATCTTCTATGAAGTGGGTAAGGAAGGAAACCAAGTATGAAAGATCATAGCGGACAAATTAGCATTTAAATAAAAAGTCACAGGTGCAGGGAAATTCTTTTGTTTTGGGATTTTAAGAAAGCTGTCCTTAATTTCTTTTCTTTGCTTTTCTTTTTCTTTCAAAAAATTGTTTTGCCATCAAAATACAAATCTCATTTGGTGATGCCAGGAGTCAGTTCACACCCTGGCAAGTACTGAACAAATGTTGTTGTTAGTATTGATCATTGTCTGTGGGAAATTATTTTTCTTTATAGGCAGTGTAGTTGAAGCAGAAAGTGAACTGGCACATTTATTATATTTTATGTAGGACCTTGATGTATGATTAGAATATGCTTCCAATTTCTTGCTGCATTTTTCTAAGAAAACTATGCATGCCTCATCAGCTGTGGCATGTTTGTGTAATTTTGGATTTAATCCTCACCCCCTAATCATAAGAGTTCATATACCTACAAGAAGTCAGAAGAATCTCACAGATGAGAAAAATCTATAGGATGCTAGGGTTACACTACTTAATAAATAATTTTGATTTAAAATGAATTATGAGTGCTAATCTACATGTAGAATACTAAATTTAGATGTTTCATACTCTGCACAAAAATTAATTAAAAATGTGTTAAGTGCTTTGATATAAGGGCTGAGATTTTGAAACTGTTAGAAGATGCAGGAAAATATTTCAGCCATATTAAGATATAGGCAATGACCTTCTGAGTAATACTTTAATAGCTCCAGAAATAACAGCAAGTATTGACAAATGGCATCACATCAAATTAAAAGCTTATACACAACAAAGGTAACAATTATCATAATGAATAGGAAGGCTACAGAATGGGAGAAAATATTTTCTAGTTATTCATCCAATAGAGCACTAAAATCTAGAATATATGAAAAGCTAAGGTGGGGGGTCATCCTTGTGGATTCCTGAGAACTTCCCCATCACCCTGCCTCTTCCTATTCCCATGATGTCTTCATTTATCATGGTATCTCTTTTCTTGCTCTCCCACTCTGTTCTTATTCCAGTTTGAACCTCCCATTTCCTTATGTTCTCATCCCACATTCTTTGCCCTCCATTACCCCCCCCCCCCCCCCGCCCTGCCCACTCCCAGTTTGCTCATGTAGGTCTCATTTATTTCTCCTTCACTGAGCTATCTATGTGCCCCTCTTAGGGTCCTCCTTGTTAGCTAGCTTCTCTGGAGCTGTGGGTTGTAGTCTGGTTATCCTTTGCCTTACATCTAGTATCCACTTATGAGTGAGTACGTACCATGTTTGACGTTCTGAGTCTGGGTTACCTCACTCAGGATGATATTTTCTAGTTGCATCCATTTGCCTGCAAATTTCATGATATCATTGTTTTTTTCCACTGCTGATTAGTACTCCATTGTGTATATGTGCCACATTTTCTTTATCTGTTCTTTGGTTGAGGGGCATCTAGTTTGTTTCCAGGTGCTGGCTATTATGAAAATGCTGCTATGAACATAGTTGAGCATGTGTCCTTGTGGTAAGGTTGAGCATTCCTTGGGTATATGGTATACCTGGGTCCTGAAGTAGACTGATTTCCAATTTCCTGAGAAACTGCCATACTGATTTCCAAGGTGACTGTACCAGTTTGTGTTCCCACCAACAGTGTAGGAGTGTTCCCCTTGCTCCACATCCTCTCCAACATAAGCTGTCTTCAGTGTTTTTGATCTTAGCCATTCTGACAGGTGTAAGACGTTATCTCAGAGTCATTTTGATTTGCATTTCCCTGATGACTAAGGATGTTGAGCAATTCCTTAAATGTCTTTCAGCCATTTGAGCCTCTTTTGTTGAGAATTCTCTGTTTAGCTCTGTAGCCCATTTTTTAATTGGATTGTTCAGTATTTTGATGTCTATCTTTTTGAGTTCTTTATATATTTTGGAGATCAGCCTTCTGTCAGATGTGGGGTTGATGAAGATCTTTTCCCATTCTGTAGCCTGTTGTTTTATCTTATTGACTGTGTTCTTTATTCTACAAAAGCTTCTCAGTTTCAGGAGGTCCCATTAATTAATTTTTGCTCTCAGTGTCTGTGTTACTGGTGTTATATTTAGGAAGTGGTCTCCTGTGCCAATGTATTCAAGACTACTTCCTACTTTCTCTTCTATCAAGTTCAGTGTAACTGGATTTATGTCAATGGTTGAGAGGGTGCCTGGACTGGTCTACTCTGGTGACCAGACTAGTGAAGACCCTAACTGTCATTATAGAGCCTTCATCTAGTGACTGATGGAAGCAGATGCAGAGATCCATGGTCAGGCTGAGTTCTGGGAATTCAATCGATGAGAGAGGAGGGATTCTGTGGGCAGGGGATGTCAAGATCATGATGGGAAAATGTGCACAGCAGCCACACTAGTGGAAACCCATGAACTGTGGACTAATAGCTGTGGAGCCGCCATAGGACCAGACTAGGCCCTCTGGATATGGGAGACAGTTGTTTAGCTTGAACTGTTT